TGTATATATATATATATATATATATATATATATATCAGTCTGGCGAATAAACTAAAAATTGTACTAGCCAATGGCGATTCAATTGCCGAGGTGTCCGTAGAGGGTTGTAGTGACACCAAACATAGGAGTATACGGTTTGGTCTCTGAATCTGTTAAATATTTAAACATTGTATTGGCAAATAAAGACATGGTCACATTTAACATTGCTCAGTGAATTTTCATGGACAAAATCCAGTAAATATAGGAAGCTGGAATTGTTTATGAGCAAAAGATTTCCAAATGCAAATATCAAAAAAGGTTTAGTTGCTCACGCTAATTCACCTCATTGACCAACAGAAAGCTGCTTGGTTTGAAAGTAGTGCTGCCACTAATGACTATTTTTATTTCGATTAATCTGTCGACTAATTTGTCGCTTGATCGATTAATCTAAACAATTAATTTCCCGCAAAAAATCAACAATTTTACTTAAGAATATTTTATTAAACTATATTTAATTAAACCAAATGAAATCCAAATTTCTATGAAATTCTTTTTTTAAAGCAAAAGTAAAGTGCAACATAGAGTGCAAGAAGGAAGTGTCCATCTCATAGTCCAAATCACTGAAATCAAAGTTCAGTATTATAGTGTAAGAAATGACAACATATCCACGTGTTCTAGTCTACTAATAATAAAATAATAATCAAAAAACACTTTTTATTAAAGGAGTATTTACCAGAAATGTTATTTTGCTGTTTTACATTGCTGTGCAATCTATGTAATCCTTGTTTAACATTGACCAAGCACCATTTCATTCAAGTGTCCACTTAATCTTTAACATTTGGCCATTTCTTTAGGACAGAAATGCTATAGCCACTGTAATTAAATGAATATGTGGACATCAAAACTTGTAAACTCAGAGTGAGGGTTTGAGCTTTTATTTTGAAACCGCAATGTATTCTCCTGAGTTTGCTAGATTTCTAAATGATTTAGCTTACAAATCTGATGAAATGGAGCACGTTGCGTTCCCAGATGAACGTTATAATAAGCCCAAACTCACAACAACATGCAGAGATGGAGTTTAAGACGCTCCACATGTAAATGAAAACAGTTCCTGTGGAACTACTGTGAACAGAGCAGCAGTGTGACGCACGTACTTAACCTACACGCATGTAAATAATTAAAGCGCATATACTGTATTAGAACTGCATCGCATATAATTATTTTATTAAATCGTATAGCGTTTGTGAATTCACAATTATGCTTAATTATGTCTAATAATGTGTTTTATGGATTATCGTCCGTGAAATGCGCCACTTCCGGTATTTTGCCGGTTAGTCGACTCGAGCAAAATGAAGTCGAGGATTTTAAAAAATCGAATAGTCGAATAAAATCGACAAAACGCGACAGCCCTATTTGAAAGTGACTTCTGTCTGAGCTGTGCTTCATACATTGCTATACTTTTAACAACAGGCAATAGACCTTTTTTTCCCCCATGAAATTTCAGCATAATGGCAGTTTTGCCATTGTTGGATTGATTCATTTTTTTTTGTTTCCTCTAGGGGTCATATCAACTTGACCATGTTAGGAGCCATGCAGGTATCCAAGAATGGAGATCTGGCCAACTGGATGATTCCGGCAAGTTCACAGCTTCATTTCCTTATTTATACATACGTCAGTACAACTGACTTTGAACAATAATAGTGAAGCTGAAACCAGATTTGTGTAAAATTTCACTTGCTTCAATCCAGCCATTTGTGTCTCGCACACAAAACATGTTGTTGTTTTGCAGATACTGTATGTTTTTAATTGCTTATAGTTGTGTCCTTCTTAAGTATTTTAAGGCACGTGTACAAGGTAAAACCTTATCCATAGTTTCATCATGCACGCATTCATTGCTGAATCAAACTGAACTTCAAGACCATCATAGCCCAACTCCAATTCTTTCCCTTCTTTCCATCTGCATTCATTCTTCAGTCTCCCACTGAAATTAACTCGAGAGCTTTCCTTTTGTTTTATGGAAATCACTGAACAGCTAATGACAGAACTCCCAGCATGAAATCAGAAATGATTTATGTAGAAGATGATGTTCTCTGAGGAGCACAAATACAGATGTATGGTCTCATTCTACGCCTGTTACCGTCCCCTTTCAAGCAGAAAAAAGAAGTCGTCACTCAGGTAGCGCTTGTACAAACCCATGAAGAGTTTAATTCATAATGTAACATGGAAGTGCAAACGTGCATAACAATTTTGGTCTGTATTAGCTAGACCAAAAGCTAATCCAGATTTAATCTGTATTTTTTTGGGTCACGATCCATGAGTTGAGATCAGTGTTAATTTTGACAGCAAATTTTGGTTTAGTTTTAGTCATAGTCTTTTGACTAAAATGCCATTTAGTTTTAGTCATATTTTAGTCATCTAAATTGTTTTTAGTTTTAGTCTACTAAATCTACAGTAAATTCAGTCGGCTAAAATCTAATGGGTTTAGTTACAGTGCATTTATTAAGCATTTCTCTAAAATTTCCAAACTCATTATATAGGTTTGATATTAAGGTTTTATCATGATAGACACAGATTTAACGGCGGTGACACAACATGCCTTTATGCTAAAATTAAATAAAACCACTTCTCATAAAGAACAAGAACATGGTCTTCTTTTGAATGAAATACCAATGGTTTTATAGGCTAATTATGCATTCTTTATAGCAACTTGTTTACCATATTCTTCATTCTTTCAAGCAGACATATTTATTTCTATAAATAAATTTAGATTAGATTAATCTTTAGGGCTACTAAAGTTTTTCAGTCAAAAGCAGTGTGTGATTTTCTGTCTCTCTTTTGTTGCTTGATTAACATCAATGACTCGGACAATAGCAACTAAATTAGACTGCTATCCCTTTAAAACCGAATGCACAGCTGCAATGGATGCAATGTACTGATACACGTTTTCCCTACTGTTTACGTTCACTTAAGACGTAATCAACTGTGTTTACGTGAATACTCGTCAAAACGGACAATTCGACATTATTTTGTGTGTGATTCTCCGTTCATGTGAAGCGAAAGAGTAGTCGCGAGCTGTGAGAGGCGCTTTCTGTGTGTATGCTTCAATGTCTGCGCTCAGAAAACCGAACCGAATTGAGTTCTCTCTTGCGTCGTCAGATTTATCCATATGTCTGCTCTTCTCTTACTCCCACATATTAACATTTTTTAACATTTTATGCGACGTGCAGCAAGTGTATGTTAGCTTATGTCCCGCCGGTTCATATGAACGCATCTAACCTCCGAACTATGCAGCAGATTCGTTCTGAATGAATCTCTTCCCAAATCGTCCCTCCCTAATGTTTCTGTCTCGTTTTTATTCGTTGACGAAAATGTCAATAGATTTACATCATAGTTTTTGTCATTCAAAAAGAGTTTTAGTTCGTTATCGTCTCGTTGTCGTCGGTTAAAAAAAGTTGTCGTTGACGAAAATTATGATGAAAATTATTCGTCAATGAAATGAACACTGGTTGAGAACCACTACAATTAAAAACCACAACGTAAATCTCAACAGTTGAAATGTACAATAGCCAGTGAGCTAACATGGACTCCAGTTAATTAGACCCACATTGTTCAGTGTAATTCTTTCTTACAGTCATCCAAGTATTGTCTGCGCATCAGTTAGCCTGCTATTGTCCTAAATCCAAAGTCATTGCTTCCCTCTAGGTTCACAAAAGGGCTTCCTAGGCTTAATGAGAGTCAATGTTGGCTGTGGTTTTTTGGAGCCGTTTTTCTGCTGGCTGTCGCCTGTGTCGCCTGGTCCTGCTGTCAGTTGAGGGACTGTTGATACACAGGTGCCCTGCATGCAGACACCACTGCAGAGTTATTTATAGTTCTCCAGGTCCCTCGCCCTGTCACTGACTGATGCCTCCCAGCCTCCTGGCCCTCTGCGCGTCTCGCTTATCGAGTTTGGTTGAAGGTTATTTCTCGCAAACTGGCACACATGGACCATGAGATGCACTCTGCTTTCAGTGCTCCTCCCCCCCCTCCTTGCCTCGTTTTTGTGTTTCTTTTTTCCCCTCAAATCTCCTCACTTGCACTTTGGTAAGGGTAAAATGTGAAGCATACATTGAAATGCAGAGATTACGCTCATGAAAGATGTGCTACTTAATGTGTCTAAGATGCCGAAGATATGGATTAGTGAGCTGATAACATTTAAATTAATGCATTTGTCAGAGGCTTTTATCCAAAGCGACAGCAACATAGCATTCAGAGTGTACACTTTATCACTTTGTGTGCTCCCTGAGAATCAAACACATGAACTTGGTGTGTTGCAAGTGCTTTGGTTTACCATTTGAGTGCCTTGCTTTACCATTTCTACCCTCTTATAATGGAACTTCAATGGGTGCCAGGGAGAAATATGTTATATGTTATTTTATTATGTGTTCCAGTATATAAAATTATATTATTTATTGATAATAAGTAGAAATGTTTTTTTTTGTTAAAACTATGTTGACCAGTTTTTATTTTATTTTATTTCAAGGTTTGGAATATATGTTGCCTTATGGTGTATTCCAGGGTTCCTCAAATCTTGCCCTGGAGGGCCAATGCGCTGCAGAGTTTAGCTCCAACCCTGAACAAACTCAGCTACCTGTGATTTTCTAATGATCCTGAAGACATTGATTAGCATGCTCAGGTGTGTTTGATTAGGGTTAGAGCTAAACTGTGCAGGAAAGTGGATCTCGTGGGCCAGATTTGAGAATCCCTGGTGTATTCTAATAAATTATACAATTATTTTATTTACTAATATAATTTATTTTTTATTTATTTCAATAAGACTATGTTGTGATTTATTTTATTTTATATTTTATTTTTTTACTGGACATTTCAGAAATCTCAGGCTTTCTAACATTTACATACTGGAAAAAGAAAACTGCCAATCCATAACACATTATGTACAAAGGCTAAGGATGTATTTGTACACAATAGTTATACAAAGTATTTGATCTAAACTTGAATAGCCTTTACCAAAAGGTAATTTTAGATCCATTTATACTTTTACACATTTATTTACATATGTCTGACTCTTTTCAGTCAGAAACATAAAGCATTCCACTAGCTTAAACAGTGGCGCATTAGCAACGGCAAGTTCATGGGTCGATTTCTAGGGAAGTGTACAATGTAAATGTAATGCAAATTTAACCTAAATACAACAGACCTGTAAAGTCCATATTCTCCCATGATGGTATGTTTAGGTCAGTAGCTGTCTGTGGCGCCATCAGGGCACATTATCAAACATAAATAGGTTTGCATGCAGCACTAGAGTGTGCTGTTCTAAGCTGCCTTTAGCCTTTAAACTCTTAATGAATCAGACAAGCCTGGCAGACTAATTACAATAATCCCTCAAAATACTGTGGGCTCCCCGGCCACCTCTCAAGACTAAAGGGACAACAGACTGTAATGTAGCCAGAGGGCCTGTAGCTGTAAGACTCATATAAGACCTCTCCTCTTCCATCTGCTCATCGGCTGATAGCAGCTCTCCCTCTCCACAGCATCCCAAATGATGATGAAGACATGCTACATCAAATAGTCTTAGCATCTTCAACAGCGGACTGGTAACAATAAAAAGCGGAAGAGTTGTGTCAGGGTGTGCCAGATTACAGTATGAACTATTATTTATAGGAAACTGGTGTTCAGCTGTTATTATTAATCTTCACTTTTTGGGCCATTAGTCAACAAATCCCCTGTAAACACCACAGGTGTTATGATGGCGACAGGTATGAAGGTTAATATTTAATTTAAAGGTCCCATGGCATGAAAATTTCACTTTATGAGGTTTTTTATCATTAATATGAGTTCCCCTAGCCTGCCTACGGTCCCCCAGTGGCTAGAAATGACGATAGGTGTAAACCGAGCCCTGGGTATCCTGCTTCGCCTTTGAGAAAATGAAAGCTCAGATGGCCCATTCTGGAATCTTCCCTTTATGTCGTCATATGGGGAAAGGTTAAGTTTGTGCTCGTCAAATTACTGGTATTTGCGCAGTTATTTAACTCCCAAAAAAGCATGTCTTAAAGCAGACGGTAATTTGCACTGGTCTTGGTAGATTTTTCAGCTTTTTTCAGCATAACATGCACTAGATAGACACGTTTGTCTATTATGCACACATCTTGCACGTCGTTTGCAGCATTTTGTGCATGGCTGAAGTTCTATTGACTTTGCACTCAAGTTTAAAAAAAAGGACCTTTTTTTCCGCTGCCCACGTCCACACGTGCTTTGTGAATGGCGACTCTGACCTTTCATGTTTAATTTTATTTTTGTACTGTTGATTGTTTTCTCATCCAAATTATTTTGAGGATGCGCTTGCGTCCTAGGAGAAAATGCCCCTGAAGCGTTGGTAATGGGGATTTTGAATTAGCATTCATAATGTTCCAGAACAGCTTAATCCAAAAACAAATGTACATCAGTCTTGAGCTCTCAGAAGAGCTGGTTGGCGTTCATTGGTAAAGGAAAGCTTTTGGTGTTTTTTTTATGGTGAAGTGGTGTTATCTCTCTTTTTTTTATGCACAAGAAGAAGGAAAATACAGCCATTCCTCGCTGTATAGTCATGCTGTGTCTTTAATTATAATGTACAACGCTGATGCAAAAAATGGGGGAGATGAAATGAAATAGTCCCACTTGTTTCTACATCCTAACACCCACACACTCTTGTTAAAAAGATGTGATTCATGTGCACAAACCTTGGTTGGGACTCTAACTCTTGACCCTCACTCAGAAATGGCTCTCATACAGCCTTTCAGCAAGCCCAGACACAAAATTATAGTCCACATCAAATTACCCATTACCTGATGCAACTTAAGGACACAGAAGTTGCTCAGTCTCTGCTCACTATTCTGCATGAATCTTGTTCTCTCTTATATGTTTTAGGGCTTTCAATTTAACGTTAACTTAGTACACTTAATTATAAAAAATAAAAATAAAAACACCCAAAATGTATGCATATGTACATATACAATACCGGTCAAAAGTTTTTGAACAATAAGATTTTTTATGTTTTTTTTTTTTTTATAAGTCTCTTCTGCTCACCAAACCTGCATTGATTTAATACAAAGTACAGCAAAAACAGTAAAATTGTGAATTTGTTTTACTATTTAAAATGGCTTTTTTTCTATTTGAATATATTTTAAAATGTAATTTATTCCTGTGATTTTAAAGCTGAATTTTTAGCACCATTACCCCAGTCACAGCCTTCAGAAATCATTCTAATATTCTTACTCGCTGCTCAAAAGGCATTTATTATTATTAATGTGTTGAAAACAGCTGAGTAGAATTTTTTTCAGGGTCCTTTGATGAATAGAAAGTTCAGAAGAACAGCATTTATCTGAAATAATAGAAATCTTTTGCAATATTATAAATGTCTTTATCATCACTTTTGATCAATTTAAAGCATCCTTGCTAAATGAAAGTATTAATTTCTATAATCCCCCCCCCCCCAAATGTTGTTTTACTATTTAAAATGGCTTTTTTTCTATTTGAATATATTTTAAAATGTAATTTATTCCTGTGATTTTAAAGCTGAATTTTTAGCACCATTACCCCAGTCACAGCCTTCAGAAATCATTCTAATATTCTTACTCGCTGCTCAAAAGGCATTTATTATTATTAATGTGTTGAAAACAGCTGAGTAGAATTTTTTTCAGGGTCCTTTGATGAATAGAAAGTTCAGAAGAACAGCATTTATCTGAAATAATAGAAATCTTTTGCAATATTATAAATGTCTTTATCATCACTTTTGATCAATTTAAAGCATCCTTGCTAAATGAAAGTATTAATTTCTATAATCCCCCCCCCCCCAAATGTACAGCATTTTATTACAGATAAATGCTGATCTTTGGATCTTTCTATTCATCAAAGAATCCTGAAAAATGCACTCAACTGTTTTTTAAATATTGGTAATAATAATAATAATGTTTTTGCCACAAAGTTACATTTTATTATGTACGTAAAGCCAATGCTTCACGTCGTGGCAGCATCATCATCTCAGGTGTGCATTATTTGCTAATAATTCAGTGGCCTGCTGTCAAATATTCCTTACTTATTAATAATATTCATAATATCTTATTGTAAATATAGTAAGTATATTTATAATGAACATTTCTTAATGGATCTTGTTGAAGTGCATTCTAGGATTGCATTCTTAATGAAAGATGTCTCGGATGCTGTCTACATTAACTATGTATATATAATTAAATGTTTAATTTTCTATATATTGTTTTAAATACAATTTTCCTTGTGTTATTTTTAATTTGCTTAAAGGGAGAGTTCACCCAAAATTTACCATTCCCTCTTTACTTATTATTTTCCAAGCCTGTACAGTCTTACAGATTTGGAAATGAGTCAATGATGAAATAAATTTCATTTAACTACTTTTTTTGTTTGTTTTAGTTTTTGGCCAAATTTGTGCTTCAAGGTTCCCTGAAACCAGTTTCTTGATATTAATTAGGGAGAAGTGTCAGCGGCTAACACGCTGCACAGAGGAAAGCCACCATGCCAAAATGTTATGTTTCTGGTTAATTGATTAAAAAAAGAACATGGAGTGTAATACCCTAAAGTTCACAGACTTCATAAGATGTGATACAGCATTATACAATTGTCTGCAGTTGTTCGGCTCTGTTAAACTACAGCCTTTAGTTACACTGTCACTGGCACTTCAATTGTTGTCTAGGAAACGGAATTTCAACGCTAGTCACCGTTGAATTGCCACTCATTTAAATGTCCAGCCGGTTTGTGTAGGAGAGAATGAATTTACAGGAGCGGATAAGGATGCAAACTGACAAAAGGAACTCGCCTGAAGTGAAGGGCATAATTTCTCATCTTCATCAGCAGGCATGAAAAGCAAGGATAGTGTGATTTACAGGGGAAATATTTGATAAGTTGTCATGGAAACTCTCAGTCTGCTGTCCACTAAAGTTGCACTTTTTTTCTCCATGTTAAATATCCCCTCAACACATATATATACACACACCCACACAGCACTTCCATGTGGCACTTCCCCAACGTGTAAGCACCTCTCCTTCCAGAATGTGCCTCCTTCAAAGCCTGCATAAATGAAGAAGAAAAAAGCCCAAGTGTCTGCACTTGGACCCTTTCTTTCCACTTTGCTTCCTGTTATTTATTTGCATGCTTGTCAAGCTCTCTGTGTTAAGAGCCCTTTGCAGTGATGATGAGAGCTTGATGGTTGATTGATTGATTTGCTCTTTGTGGTTTTGAGATAGACTCTTGGACCATTTTCAATCGGTTAATGCATTATTATTCTTCATCTGACAAATGACAGTTCGAGTTTCATGTCCATATACGATAAATGATTTGTGAACCGTTTTTGAAGATGGAAACTCAATGAAAGCTTACATCACCCTTTGGCAATACTTTTGTTTTTTCTATTGTTATTAAGTTGTAGGAAAGCCATATGTAGGGCTGGGAACAGCAACCACCTCAAGATTAATTTCAGTGAATAATGTACAATGTCACAATTGGATTGCTGTTATTATTATTGCTTAAAACTAATTTGGAAATAAAATTAGTTTTTAATTGCTTTAATAAAAAGACAAATATAACAAAAATGTGCCAATTAAAGAAATATTGAATGTTAAAAACCACACACATCTGAAGAAAATAAGTTTTTTTTTGTACTTTATCAACATGTTACACTCTGATGTAAGTGATTTTATCAAGTCATGAAATGACCACACTCTTGAAATCAGTATTATTTTTGTATTATTACAGTATTTATGAATATTTTTAATTAGTTTTTTATTTAATTTTAATATAATTTTTGTTTTATTTTAACTTTGAATAATATGTGATTTTTCATTTTATTATAATTATAATTATTTCTAGTTTTATTTTTAGTAATTTTAGTACTCCAACTTATTTGAGTACTAAAAACTACGTTTTCATCTAATTCTTATATTTGATTATATTTCATCTTTATTTCAGTTAATGAAAATTGTTTTTATTAGTTTTAGTTAACAATAACAACACTGCTTGAAATTCCTACCTGACTGAGCTCTCCTGTGCTCCTCGAATTGAACTAAAACACATAGACCACTGTAGGATTTCATTTGAATTGCTTAACTCTCAATTGTTTCCTACAACCTGAAATATTGTGTGTTTGTAAAGCAAAAATGTGTTTTGATTTACATGCATGTGTTGCTCATGTCTTGCAACATCTTTATTTGTATGTTTCCCTTCAGGGTAAGATGGTGAAGGGCATGGGTGGGGCTATGGATCTAGTGGCCAGTGCTGGAACTAAAGTTGTTGTTACAATGGAGCACTCAGCTAAGGTAGGTGTAATCATATGTGTTATACTGGCTTGTTAGCAGCTGCTCAATAACACAAATTTTATATAATTTGCATTTCAGACACAACATGGCCATTTGTTTGTTTGTACTTTGCTAATGAAAATAATTCCAAAAGAAGCCAAATGATCAAGTTTTGCATGTCGCAGATAGTTCTGGAATGCAGACAAGCGGAGTGACACATGGTAAAGTGTTCTGTGGTTGAATTGGGCCAGAATGACCCAGAATGATGTCTCTGGATCTTTGAATTAAATAAGAAAATAAATTCCATTCCATTTTGATCCAGTACACAAAAAGTTTGGTAACACTTTATTTTAAGGTGTCCTTGTTGCACATGTTGCATGTACTTACTATTATAATAACAATAAATTATGCATAATTACATGCAAATTGTTACGGAGAAAGTGACAGAGGCGTTTGGATCCATCTGCAGAGATTTATTTCACAACGTGGTTTCAAAACAGGCAAAGGTCGGACACTGGCAAACAGGCATATCATGGGCAAGACAAAAGAGTAGTCCAGTAAACAAGTGTGGTCGATCTCTGGCAAACAATGCCCAAACAGGGTAATCCAAAGGGGTATTCTGAAACACAGGCAATAGTTCAGGCGAGGGTCAAACAGAGTCCAAACAGAGCAAGGCAAGAGAAAAATCCAAAGACAGGCAAGACGTGATGAGACTCTGGACGATCAGCTGTGACGCGATGAGACTCTGGACGATCAACTGTGACGCGATGAGACTCTGGACGATCAGCTGTGACGAGGCAAAGGTCGGACACTGGCAAACAGGCATATCATGGGCAAGACAAAAGAGTAGTCCAGTAAACAAGTGTGGTCGATCTCTGGCAAACAATGCCCAAACAGGGGAATCCAAAGGGGTATTCTGAAACACAGGCAATAGTTCAGGCGAGGGTCAAACAGAGTCCAAACAGAGCAAGGCAAGAGAAAAATCCAAAGACAGGCAAGACGTGATGAGACTCTGGACGATCAGCTGTGACGCGATGAGACTCTGGACGATCAACTGTGATGCGATGAGATTCTGGATGATCAACTGTGATGCGATGAGACTCTGGACGATCAACTGTGACGCGATGAGACTCTGGACGATCAGCTGTGACTTGACTTGACTCAGGAATGGCAGCAGTGACAGAACGGAGTTCTGCTGTCACGACATTAAAGGTACGGGCGTCACTGTCACCGCCATTACACATGCAGAACGAATAACTGGAGTAGTGATCATTAAACTGGAATGTCCCGGAGCTTGTGACTGAGTTCTGTAGCCGCTATTACAGGCACAGTCGCGGTGTCGCGTTCTTCCTCCGAGACACCCACAGTGAGCGAAGAACTGACTAACGGTAATGCATGGTCCATGAACTGACTGAGTGATGAACGGGGACCCTCATAAATGAGTTTAGACTTCAGTGGTTCATTAATGCCATCACAAAAAAAGTCTATCAAGAGACAGTCTGGCAAATCAGAATAATAAGTAATGTCAAGATATTCCTGAATATAGACCTTGAGCGATTGTGTGCCTTGTTTGAGAGCTAATAATAATCTTGCGGTGTCCATACCTGGCCAGTGTCCAATAGAAAAGCCGCTGGATCCTCGTGGGGCTGAGTATTCTGTTACGGAGAAAGTGACAGAGGTGCATCTGCAGAGCTTTATTTCACAATGTGGTTTCAAAACAGGCAAGGGTCAGACACTGACAAACAGGCATATCATGGGCAAGACAAAAGAGTAGTCTAGTAAACGGGTGTGGTCGATCTCTGGCGAACAATGTCCAAACAGGGTAATCCAAAGGGGTAATCTGAAACACAGGCAATAGTTCAGGCGAGGGTCAAAGAAAAATCCAAAGAAAGGCAAGATATCCGAAAACACAACTAGACTAAACAGGCGAGACATGACAGGACTAAAATACCAGGAATGGCTCCGTAGTAGCTATCGCTAAGCAGAGATAAATGCTAACAATACTCGGCCCGGAAGAGCATGTAAATGGGTGTTCTATAGTCTGTGTGATTGGTGACAGGTAATCAGTGAAATGAAACATGGGAAATGTAGTCTGGGGTGACATGTAACAGTCTGTGTAGTATGAGAGTCCATGTGGTGGATAGTGATCTCTGGTGGTGAACAAACGGAAGTCCATAGACCGGATTCGTGACAAAAGTAACACTAACCATATAGTAAATACATGTAGTTCATTAATATTACTCAGTACTTAAATGTATAATTAAACTGTAACAAGGACCTTAAAATAACGTGTAACCAAAAATTTAAAAAAGTAGCAAATAAAAAAAATAAATTAACTGTCTATTCATCAAAGAGATAATTATTAGAAGTTGCTTGACTTATTAAAAGTGAACTTTAGAACCAAGGACCACTCGTGTCATATTTGTATATTTATCCATGTCATCCACGACTTTTCCTAAGTCACTAGAACCACAACTCAGTTTGAAAACTTTCCCCACTCCTGAAATCCCAATTCATACCCTGGTTTTTTAAAATGTCAGCACTGTTTGGGAAGCTACTTTAAAAAGTAATATAAGTGATGTTTCTTTCTCTTGAGACGCTGGCAAATCAGCTCTCAAAGATATGTTATATGAACAGAATAAGTTGCGTTGAGCATTATGTTATGAAGGTATTTCTTCGGTGTTTCTTGTAATTCCTCCAAGTAGTTTTGTTTTAAATGTAGAAGCAAGTGATGATTGCATCAATCAGTTTTAATGAACAGATTCTTATTGAGTCACATTGCATGGCACGTATTCCCTGCGAGAAGGGCATCATTATTTCCCGTGAGTGACAGAATCTCTTTTCCCTAAGCAGACAGTTGGAGAGGCATCAGTATTCTGAGAAGCTTTCAGCTGTGCAGACAGTGGAATGCATACACCCCGTGTCAACTGTGTATGCTACACGTTTTTGCAATCTTAAAGGATAGTTACTCACAAATGAACATTCTGTCATTATTTACTCGCCCTCATGTTTTTCCAAATTTGTATGCTGTTATTTTTTCAGTGTGTAAAACATAAAAATAAATGTTTTTGTTAATATATATTTTTTTATATTTTGTTATATATATATTATATATATTCAAATTTTTTTAGATAATTTTTTGAGATGTACCTGTGTGTATATATATATATATATATATATATATATA